TAATAATAATAATGATGATAATAGTACCAAATTCAGATAAAGGCAGGAAGGAATCTTCCTAATGACATGCTCGCGCTTCGGCACGTCTCTCCCCGGCGTTCTTCTTGGCACGCCTGTGAGTGGTTGAAGGTCTCCAGCCCGCTGTGTGGAGGTGGGTTTTTGCTTGATAGCGGTGGGAGAGATTCAAAACTCTTTTTGTTTCTTGTGTCGCTGGAAAAGAGTGTTTTTTCTGAGTAATGCTTTGTAGACCCTATGAATCACCATCTGCATAACTTTATATGGGGGATGCTATTCTCAGCATCTTACTGGAACTATGTAAACTATTACCGTTCGTATGTGTTTGTCCATGCAACATGCAACTCTATTTTCCTGGAAAGACTATTTCAGAGCAGGTCAAAGGAGGAGACCGGGCAGAACAAAATGTCAGGGTGGCTCAGCGGGTGGAGACGGGTGTTTGGGAGCCGGCAATTGCCATCTTTGGAGGGGCAGCCCCTCCGTGGAAGCCTGCGCTGGAAATCCTCAGCAGGAGACCTGATGTGCAGGATGCTGAGTGCCCTGGGAGCGGAGCCAGGAGCAGGCTTGGGGAGCAGGGACTCGGGTCCTGCCCCAGCATCACACATCACTTCCCACCCCTGCTCCTTCGGCCTCTCCTTCCAGCGGTGGCTGCGCTGAGAAAAACATCGTGAGTCTTTTAAAGAGGCTCAGGAGAGCCGTGCCAGCTGAGACGGGGTTTGGCAAGGGGACGGTGCGATGGCAATGTCACCCAGCGCGGAGGAGCTGCCCCCGCACACGCGCTGCGGGAGCACGTGCCGGGTAGGCTGGAGGAGCTTTTAGCGTTGCTCCCCGTGCTGCGCTGGTTTTGTCAAGAGAGAAGAGTTTATTCTCTCGAGCTGTCAATCCGTCACCTCCCAGAGGCTCTCCGCCTTCCCTCCACGTTCGCCTCCCCCTCGCTGCCAGCGCTCCCAGATGTGCGCAGCGCCGGGGGCTGCAAAATTCCCTGTGCCCGGGCAGGGGAATTGCAGCACCTCCCAAACCTCACCAGGGGAATCGCAGCATCTCCCAAACCTCACCAGGCTGACCCCACAATGAGGAGAGCGTTGACTGCAGAAGCTGAACATTTCAACTCTTGGTGCTGTTTCAGTCCAGGCTTTCAGTGCGCAGCGACCTGTAATTTCCATGCAGTTGGATCAAGAGCTTTGCTGTAGGGTTTTTTGGGTTGTGGGTTTTTTTTCAAATAATATAGGCTGAAAATTTTCCAGGAAAATGCTCTCGAAAGGAGCTGGATTCATGGGTTAGTAGGGTCCTTGCGCTCTCCTGAGCATCTACTGCTGCAAGGCAGCATGAGCCCAGCTTGTCTGCTGTGTCCTGCTCATGTTTGGTGGTCAGTTGGAGGACGCTGATCCCTACTAGCATCTAATAGCATCTCTAACCGGTCTCTAAGAGTCCCTTCTCCGTCTCAGCTCAGCCAAGCCCCTGCAATTCGGGAGGGAGCATCTGAACATGTCCCCTCATTATGGGGGGAAGCTCTGCCTCCTCTTAGCCCAGAAACACCACCTCCTTCCCCTGGGGTGACTGCGGCTGCTGGTGGGGACCACCGGCTACCACCAGCACGGGCGGCGATTTGGGCTCGCGACCGCGAGATGAGAGCTGGAGCGTGTTGTTGGGGCTCCCAGTCCTGCAGCCTTCCTGCAGGTTTCCTAAATCCCACTTCTCATCGGATTTCTTCATTAAACGTAGATTAGATCAGATGGTGTTTCTTTCACTACGAAGCAATTTGGCTTTCCATTTAGTGCGCCCATCTGATAAATAATGGCTTGAAATAATGTAATTCCACCCGCCCTTGATCACACCGAGCCTGTGCTGGACTTCTGCTCCCTCCTTAGCTCTGGCTTGGCACTTCCAGATCTCAGGATACAATTTGAGTCCCTGCTGTAGGAGGAGAGCCCTGTCTGGAGGAATGGAGACCAAAGCCACCAGATTATCTTAATTTTACTGACATACAGGCAAAGCGATGAAGGCAGAGGTGCGGATGACCATGGGTCACCCAGCTCTCCATCCACCTCTGCGCTTGAGCCCCATCTCCATCCTGGACAGCCCCCAACGTGCGGGCTCTCCCCTGGCACTGCCACCACGAGAAGCCCTTGCAGAGGAGTCACCCAAGACTGAATCTGTAAGGGGGTGCTGGTGCACAATTCCCACACGGTCCAAAGCTTTTTGTCCATCAGGAAGTGGGAGCTGAACCTGCATCTTCTTGCTGGGCAGTGAGCAAGGCTGGAGGGAACGTGGTGGGACCTCTTTGCCTCCCTGGTTGCTGGTGCTGTTTGGTTCATTGGGAGCTGGGGATCCCCAAGCCTAGAGAGCAGATGCTTGTTGTTTGCTGGAGAAAGCAATGGGGAGCGAGAGCCCCAGAGATCAGAAACCAGCTCCCCCTCCCCAAATTTTCCTGCGCTGGGGAAGGATGGTTGCTCTCAGCATGGGACACTGAGCTGAGAAGTGCAACCCAGCAGGAACATGTGGCACTGCCTCATCTCTTTTGTTGTCAAACCAACCCCAAACCATCCTGAGAGGGACGGTGAAGGCGGTGATAACACCTGCGGGATCGATCGTGCTGGGGAGCTGAGAAGGTGTGCGCTGGAGCTGACCCAGCGGAGCAAGATTTGATGTGAAAAGCTCGTTTGGATGAAGGTTGAGCAGACTCTTCCAGCATCAGGGTATTTACCCTACCTTCAAAATGAACTGAAGCCTCTCTGTGCTTCTGGAGTGTCTTGACATGGAACATCATAGGTGGGTCAGCAAAAGCCTCATAGATATCTGTGGTCTATTGCCTCAACCCCCCTGACCAGCTTAGAAACACCTACTTCAGTGGTAGGTCATACCCTCTCTGAGGGTTTAGCTTGTATCCAGCACAGTCCTGACTTTTAACGGAGAGATGGAATGATTCCCGCTCCCATCCTTGCTCTGAGCTTGGTCGCAGTGGGGAGCACAGCTATTGTGGGCTCCGTCAGTCACGGGAGAGCTCTTTGGGGTCCCTGCTCACTCAGCGTCTCAGGAGCCATCTCTAGATGAGGTACCCTGGGTTGCCAGCATCTGAGCGTTGATTTTTCCCTGAAATAGCATCTCTGTGACTTTCAGAGATGGTACTTGGCCCTTTTCCCTGAAAAAGCAATAGGCAGCGCAGCCCCGAATCCCCTGGGCTGTGGGCTTTCGAGCAGCGATGCCAGACACCTACTGTCACCGCAGGACTGATACACCTCCAGTTTCAGAGGAGAAAACATGTGCACTGGTATTTCGGAAACGATGACATCTTAAATTTATGTCCCTCTCCCTAACCTCTTCCATAAGCCTTGCTTTGATCAGAAACCCAGCTGGCGTTCCTCCGAGCTTGGGAGGAAGTCTGGAATAAAACCCAAAGACAAGAGCTGCGCAAGTCCCCGGAGCCGCCCCCGTAGCTCCCCTGGCTGGGGTTTCCATCCTGCCACCGCGGGAGCGCTGGGGCATTTCTTGAAAATGAGGATGTTTTGATGAGGCTGTTGGGACATTTACAGGTCCAAACTGGCGGCTGATTTTGCTCTGCGCAAGGGCTTCCCATCTGAGATGGTGGAAAAGCCCCTTCTGATGGTCAATAATAAGTAGCTGAAGAGTGTGTGGCCCCCAGAGAGCTCCTAACTCAGTAGTTGTCTCCTCTGATATGTCTTCTTCCATGACCTTGTCCCTCTCAAACCTGGTCCCTTTCTTGTCTTGCAGGACGTGGGCTCTCTCATGCCCTATCTCGCTCTTCTCCCCTCCTAAAACCTCCTACTGAAGGATGGCAGCCGCCTCTTTCCGCTACGGCATGACCATCACCGGGGCCGTGCTGCTGGTGACGGGGACGCTGTGCTTTGCCTGGTGGAGCGACGGGGAGGTGGGCACCCCGGCCAGCAGCGGGGCTCGCCTCCTGCCTCCCCGGGAAGCCGAGGCGGTTCCCAGCTCTTCCTCCAGCGCCTTGCTCCGCTCCGTCAGCTTCTTCTGCTGCGGCATCGGCGGCATCCTCCTCCTCTTCGGGCTCCTCTGGTCCGTGAAAGCCAACGCCAGGGTGGTCTCCCGGCGCTACCAGTACCATTTCCCCAGGGACCTGCAGTACTTCACCGCGGAGCCTCTGGAGAAGTGGAACTGCAGGTGGGTGCCACGTCCCCGCGCGGCGCTTGGGTGGGAAGAAGTCAAGGGTGGGTTTAGCTGTCCCGACATGGCCGTGTAACTAAACCTGCTCTCAGGCTTGCTTGCAGGCGAGCTCAGATGAGCAGTAACACCGCCGCGCTGCCGGCCGCTGCTCAGACCCTGTTCTGTGTTCTCCTCCTGCTCCCGGAGCAGAAGCTCTTGCTCATTAGTGTCAACCCGAGCCCCCGCACCCTCCCCTCCCTGCAGGCACCCTCCGTGCCCACGCTGGCTGCTCCAACGGCCGGCTCAGCTGCAGATGGCTCTCCTTGCCCTGCGGGGCCATCACCGGCCGAGGCAGACATCTCCTTAGCAGAGCCACCGAGCAGAAGACCGCATTGGTTTTCTGGCAGAGCGCCTGGATTTGGGGGTGGGGGGGTCATCCAAACCTCCGACTGTTGAAACCTTCCCCCGTGCCACGGGTCTGCAGTGCTCTGTAAGGATGACAGGGTTTGTGGCAACTTTAACGGAAGGAAAATCTGTGTTAAAAGGGGGTTAAAAGAAAAAAAGAAGGAAAATAATCCTCGGATTGGCATTGAGATGGGAGTGGAGGTGGAGGGTCCGTCTATGAAGCCTGTTTTGGGGTATGGGAAGACCTCTCGCCCCCCCAAACCCCACCAAGGGTCCCCAGACTCTTCCTGTGTGAGCCTGAGATTCACTCCCACTTCTTCAGTTAAAAGTTTTTTGATCAAAAGGGTTTTTTTTCCAGAGACTGCTGTGGAAGCCGAGCCAGCCGGCCCTTCCCAGTGCTGTTTTATGGGGTCACAGCAAAGATCTTGGCTCCAGCATAAATCGGGCTCTGGGGAAAAGCAGCACTAAAAGAAACTCTTAAGAACATAAAACCATAAAAATTCAGTCGGGGCGGGAGGCACGTTCCTGGTTCTCTGGGGGTTTCGGTGCCCATCTGACTATCTGGGGGTGAGATCGTAAGCTGGTCTGGGCAGTCTGGGGGGGGGTTTCCTCCTCCCACGGGGAATGTCCCCTTCCCTGAGCTCCCGGCTCCCGTACCGGACGGGAAGGCATTGCCCCAGCATTGCTCGTGCTGCAGCAGCTCCTGCAGCCCCAGCTGCGCTGGCATTTGCGCAGCAAAGCCCTCCAGAGCAGAAAACGCAGCTCCGCAGAGGGTTGGCAGCGTGACATCCTGTGCTGGGCGAAACCGCCCTCCCCGCATTTCCAAGGCAGCATCCCTCTCGCAAGCTGAGGCTGTTTGGCAAAAGCCACGGCGTGGATGCCCGGGGCGGTAGATCCGGGACAGGAGGCTGCTGAATTCGGGATGGAGGCATCCCTGCAGAGCATCGCAGCTTTCCCTTTGGACCAGCTGTGCCCCTCCGATGCCTGCAGCCTCCCCGAGCGTGCCTCGCTGGGTTTTCACCTGTAAAAGCAAGCGGACGGTGGGTTGCTTTCAAAGCCTCCCCATCTTTGGGGCCGAAACGTTTCGTAGGGTGCCGAGCGGGGCCGTGCGCAGGGCAGAGGTTGGGCGGAGGTTTTCCCTGTACACAAGCCGTGTTTGCTCACCAAAGTGCTGTTGGAAGTGGCACCAGGCTTGGCCGGTGCACGGAGGGTTCCGGTGGGCACAAGCGTGGGGTGTTGAACTGGGATGCCTGGCTCTTGCCTGGCTGCTCGTGCCAAACGGCTCAGTCGGCAGCCTCTGTGCTTCGGGGGTGACGTTGGGGTTAGGCAGATGATGAGGATGCCCTCCTGCCCGTGGGAAGCAGCGCGGTGCGGAACGGGGGGGCAGATGTCTCGAGAGCCAGCACCTCTGCTGCTTTGTGGTCAGCCACACCGACAGTTGTAGCTCTTAACGCCGGAGGTGGCAGCTCTTCGAGGCTGCCTTGCCAGGCTGCCCTTCCTCTTCTTGGGTGAAGGGTTAATAAACTCAGTGGGAACTGGGCAACGTTGCCTTGTTGCAAGATGGTGCCCTTCCTCCTGCCCGGCTCCCCACCCTCCTGGTGCCGGGAAGTGGCTGACACGGTCTTCCCTTGACTTTGGGCATGCAAAACCTGCCCATGAGCCATTCCCAGCACAC